GGGGCCATACAGCGCGCCTGTGTGAGTATACAGACTATACAGGGACCATACAGTGCGCCTGTGTGAGTATACAGACTATACGGGGCCATACAGCGCGCCTGTGTGAGTATACAGACTATACAGGTGCACACAGCGCGCCTGTGTGAGTATACAGACTATACAGGGGGCCATACAGCGCGACTGTGTGAGTATACAGACTATACAGGGGGTCATACAGCGCGCCTGTGTGAGTATACAGACTATACAGGGGCCATACAGCGCGCTTGTGTGAGTACAGAGACTATAAAGGGGGCCACACACTGTGCTTGTGTGAGTATACAGACTATACAGGGGCCATAAAGCACGCTTGTGTGAGTATACAGACTATACAGAGGCCATAAAGCACGCTTGTGTGAGTACTATACAGGGGCCATAAAGCACGCTTGTGTGAGTATACAGACTATACAGAGGCCATAAAGCACGCTTGTGTGAGTATACAGACTATACAGGGGCCATAAAGCACGCCTGTGTGAGTATACAGACTATACAGGGGACCATACAGCGCGCCTGTGTGAGTATATAGACTATACAGGGGCCATACACTGTGCTTGTGTGAGTATACAGACTAGGTATACAGGAGATACAACCCGCATCAAGATAAGTCTATGCTAGACAGAGTGTATCTTCACTTATCCCTCATAGAGGTATATTAGGGAATGGGGATTTTCCTTTACTTATTCCTCATATGAGGACATTCATTATTCCTCAAAGAATGCCTTCCTATCCTCGGGTTAAATCTATACAATATCTACTAGTCGAAACATCATATTTTCCTCCCTGACCTGTGCTGCATTCTCCTTATAGTTCGCTCTTGTATTTGGTTTAGTTATCAAATATTTAGTTATGTGTTATCAATTTGTTTCTAACTCCTTTATTCCTGTCGCAGGATGAAGGCTGCGCCACAGCCTGCGAGTTCTTCATTAAAGCCAACGCCACCCCTCCACCCGCCCCTTCCTCCCCCTCCCACCCTCAACACCCCACCCGCCAAACTATCCATGCATTTCACCGGCCGCGGTGACGCCGAGTGGAGTCTCGTCTGGTCAACTCAACCATCATCCGACCCCATCAACCCCAAGGAAGGTCCCAAATCCAACAACTTCCGCGGTCCACACAACCCCACGGGAAGCCAACACCCACATAACTCCTCCGGTCCCCATCAGGCCCCGTCCCCTTACTCTGGGGACGTAAGCGGGGTACCACACGACAGCGTGGCCGGGGGCTGTGCCGTGTGTGGGGCTTGTGGTGTTGTCTTCGCGGTCTTCCAAAGAAAGATGCATCATCATCCATGGGTTCTGTTCCAACAAACCCAAGCCAACAAGATGGACTTGGACTCCATCGAGGTCGGGTCAGAACTCCAGCTAATCGCGGTTGCCAACTGCGGGCCGGTCTCGGTAATCATAACGCCTTACGAGCCCGTCGGGGGCCCCACCAAAAACTCGACTAACTTGAGGACCGCTGGTCGCCCCAGGCCTGACTTGTTCTTGCATGAGCGAAGGTACCAAACCCTCGCTCAACATTATGCTAATAAAATAGCTAAAGTCAACTTCGAGGAGACAGTTCCTACCACCGTGTCTCCATTGCCTCGTCAGGACAGCTCTGTCATAGGCAGCTCAGCCGTCAGCTCTGTCATGGGCAGCTCAGAGCTGACAGGCGCTGCAGTACAATCGCCCACTTGGACTCTTCACTACAACGCGAGCGTCAACATGACGGACCTCATCTACACTAAGATCTGGTGGAACGCAAGCGACATCGCGGCCGCTGCGCAGCACAAGAGCGATGAGAACGACGTACGCTCAGGGATTCCGAAGCCTGATGGCGTTCCAGAATCCGACATTGACTATTTGGTGACATGGGAGGATCTAAGTGGGACTGTGAAAGGACATTCGATGACTCGGAACGCCTACATTTCTTTCGACCTCTGGCCACACACCGTGTACAAGATACAGGCACAGGTCGTCATGGGGCCCGTGATGGAACCCATTTTGTCCAGTCCTCTGCTGATCGACGCTGCCAAACTTTACCGCGATCTTAGCAAGGAGCTTCCCGGCAATACTGGTGACGAAAACGAATTTCCGTCCTACGGCCGGAAGGAGGAGCCATCCAAAATTCCTCAAGACAGAGTGTCCGACCAGAGTGAGAAGGAATCTAGCCATGAAATTAAGAATAAAAATATTTTAAAAAGTGCAAATGACTCCAAAAATTTCACTCGATCGGATAGTTACGTATACGCAGAAGTTGAAACTGATTACGTACCTCTCTCTGTAGAAACTGTTACTTTCAAACCGCCTTCTGTGTTCAAAAAGGTTCTTTCACCCACGCGAAATTTCAACCGTGATTTTGGGGTAGAACAAGAAACTGAAACTCCTCGTCAACAGAATTTTAAGCTTGATTCAGACGCGATGCGTGAATTTTCAGCCGAAAGTAGCAGAAGTTCCATGAGAGGCGAAGACTTCGGAATTTACAAGAATGCCGTGCTGTACTCAGGGGCGGCCGACCATTCACTGGGGGCGGCCGACCCCCACACAGCCCAGGATGATAACTCTGCAACGTTGTCGGGTGACATCATTGCAGGCATTGTATCAGCGTTCATCTTTGTGCTGCTGATGATTGTGTTCGTGTCTTTGTATGTCAGGTACTACCTAAGAAAGGTTCGTAAGAACCAGGGGAGCTTCAAGACTGATGGCTATGACACCTCATCGAGCGTCTCCAGCAAAGACACGGATAAGAGCGACGACCGCAACACGCCGTTGAGGGTGAAGACAACCCGCAGAAAGTGGTTCCCTTTTCGGCATGTGAAGACCATGGCGACATTCTCCAAGGCTGATGATGTTGCTAATTCCTACGGCTTCGTGGGCAAATCTAATGATTCAAACTCCAGAGGTGCAGACTCACGCAGCACAAGTATTGAGTTTTCTCTTCAATCCTCTGAATCTCTCATAAATTCCAACAATTCAACTGCTCATAACACATGTAAGCAAACTGGGAGTAGTGGTACTCCCGCTGTTCGGGTCGGCATGCCAGGTAGTGTTTACAACGCAAGTATGTGCAGTACTAGCGACTGTAGCACCACCATACGCTACACACACTCCCCCCACAACCAGCTGTTGCCGCCTGCCACGACTAACAACCCTGAAAGAAATGAAGGGTGTCAACCGCAAGACGTATACGGTCAGGTTGACGAGTCTTTTCGACCCATTTGTGGCTTGCCTGATCTAACAAGTGATTGTGGTGTATATGAACAGCCAGTGGGTTACCCAATCATGCCAAGATCCGCTCGTACTTACGCTGGGCAAATGACAACTCACTCCAGAGGAACTCCGATATTTTCCAGTGAAATGCCAAGGTCGCTTCCATGTTTCGGTTCAGAAGGAGCAGACTCTTGCTTAATCCAGCAGGCTGGCGAAGCGGCGAGTGGGAACCCGAATTTACGAGATGGTCGTTACTTTCCATCACACAACTCCAGCCTCAATATGGGACCCATCTTGAAACCTGCTCACTATCTCTCATCAGCTGCCTGCTGCGACTCCGGTTCTTCTTGTCCAACGCCTGATCACTTTTCGCCGCGCAGTCAAGTAGTTTTTGATTGCCCCTTTCCGTCGTCTTGTTCAACTCCCAACAACTGCATCGTACCTTCTCGCCTAACTCCTGTAGAATTTGTGCAACGACCACCGTACCAGATTTCGGCTTGTGTGGCCACTTCCAACTGTCGAAATTCCCCTCACGCGACCACCAGCTACCATCCGAATGCCTACCAGCTCAGAACTCTGCAGACTCCTTCAAATTTATCGTATCAAGAACATCAAATTACTCCAAATCTGTCGTATTGCGAACGTCAACCTACCCCAAATCTGTCGTATTCCGAACGTCAGCCTACTCCGAATCAGTCGTACTCTGAACGTCAACCTACCCCAAATGTGCTGTATTCCGAACGTCAACCTACCCCAAATCTATCGTATGTCGAACGTAGGCCTACCCCAAATCTGTCGTACTCTGAACGTCAACCTACCCCAAATCTGTCGTATGACGAATTACAAAACAACCCAAATGTGCCGTATCCCCAACCCCATCAAGTTCCCCACACAACCCAAGTTCCCCAAGCAACTCAGGGTCCCACTAACTCCCGAGGCCCGGTCCCCAAGCCCCGTCCCCGCCAACTCCTCCCCCAGGTCTCATCCTCCAAACCCGCCGTCCCCAAAAAACCTCGCAATCTTCCCCAGAAATCCCCGAATAACGGCAAATTGTGAAGGCCGATTGTGTGAGGTGTATGAAAATGTGAACAATATGATATGTACAATTCTTTGAGAATTATTTTAAGGTTCATGCAGTAATTGCCTTGTAAATATGATAAGGAATGCTAAGGCAAAGAAAAAGTCAGTTGACGTAGATTTAATAAGCCTGCAGAATGAATATCTGAACTTTTTACATTTCTTCACTCCCTCTTTTTTGTCTATGATTGTTTGTTCGTAGAAACATTATCGCTCAAATCTTGTTAATAGATCCTGACGGTAGAAAAAGCGTTAACGACCAAAACCATTGCCTTAGACTGATCAGACGCTCTTTCGAGTTCCTAGATGCAGAAGCGATGAAGCAGTTGTTTGTTGCTGTCGTGCGCCCGAACCTAGAGTTTGGAAACGTCGTGTGGTCACCGAAACTTTAAAAGGACAAAAATTTAATGGAGAGTTTCAAAGACGTGCAACAAGGATAATTCCAGGCTTGATGGGCAAGTCCTATGAAGAAAGATTAAAGATTATGAAGCTTTCAAGCATCAGTTATCGACGTCAGCGTGGGGACCTCATTGAAGTATACAAGTATACTCATGGTTTATACAAGGTCCCCGAAGAATTACTAGAATTTGAAACAAGAACCAACACCAGGGGCCACGGCTATAAACTAAAAAAACTGCGCTGCAACTTCTCCACGCGACAAAATTTCTTCTCGCTTCGAATCACCGACATGTGGAACAGCCTCTCCGATGACATCGTTGGCGCTCCGAGTATGAACGCGTTCAAGAACAGACTAGATAAAGCTATGGAAAAATATATGTTCAGATTTAAAATGCCTATCACCATTACGAACCTGGTGGAAGTCTTGTTAATACTTCAAACTATCGACTGTTTGGAAAAGATCCGTAGAAGGACCTGTTTTTAGATCTCCTATAGACAAGTCACGAAAAGTACAAGAATCGGCGACAGGCCACATCAGGCCTACTCTTCAGCGCCGACTTCACAATGCTATGCTTGTCTCTCCCGATGATGAAATTTTCAGCGTTTTGCTTTCGGTAATTTGGAAGTTCTGGCCACCAAATTTTGTCCGCGCTACAAAGCTCTACGTTTCGTTGTAACCTCCGTACTCCCACCATGAGAGAAGATAAGAAGTATTCAAATACGATAAGAAGTTTACACATCTTATATCACGGCGTAGGGTTTACAAATCGGTATCGGGGCTCAAATCTGAACAATTATTGTTCCTTCTCTAAAAACTATTGTTAACTAAAAGATGTCACCGTTTCTGTTAAGTTTTGCTATCCTAGTATCACATTTGGCTTCAGTGGCTACCAATACTGTAGTATCGAGTTTTATTTCTCTCAGGCTGTAATTATTTCTTATCATCACAATAAGGTGAAGGAATTCTCTCGGGCAATGAAATATAATTAGTAACCTCTTGAAATATTGTATATTGTTTATTGTCATCCACGTATGGTAAAGCCAATTGGCAGGAAACTACAATTATGAATGTATCTAATTTCTCTGTCATGTCATTGTACCTCACGTCATTGTACTTCACGTCATTGTACTTCACGTCATTGTACTTCACGTCATTGTACTTCACGTCATTGTACTTCACGTCATTGTACTTCACGTCATTGTACTTCACGTCATTGTACTTCACGTCATTGTACCTCACGTCATTGTACTTCACGTCATTGTACTTCACGTCATTGTACCTCACGTCATTGTACTTCACGTCATTGTACTTCACGTCATTGTACTTCTCGTCATTGTACTTCACGTCATTGTACTTCACGTCATTGTACTTCTCGTCATTGTACTTCACGTCATTGTACTTCTCGTCATTGTACTTCACGTCATTGTACTTCACGTCATTGTACTTCCCGTCATTGTACTTCACGTCATTGTACTTCACGTCATTGTACTTCCCGTCATTGTACTTCTTCACGTCATTGTACTTCCCGTCATTGTACTTCACGTCATTGTACTTCACGTCATTGTACTTCACGTCATTGTACTTCCCGTCATTGTACTTCACGTCATTGTACTTCATGTCATTGTACCTCACGTCATTGTACCTCACGTCATTGTACTTCACGTCATTGTACTTCACGTCATTGTACTTCACGTCATTGTACCTCACGTCATTGTACCTCACGTCATTGTACTTCACGTCATTGTACTACCATGTACTGCATAACAATAACTGTATATGTAACTGCATTAATTGCAGAACTAATTGCTAAGCAATAACTGTGAATGTAACTGTAATTAACTGTACATAAGTAGAAGTACAGTCGACTGTACCTTAGCGCAGTAAATCCTAAGTCTGCACTTGTTTTCTTTTATTTCCAGTAAAAATTCAGCGAAATTCATGAGAAATCCGCTGAAAATTCTGTTGTCGTCTTTGGTTATCCTTGTTATCCTTCAGTTATCCTCATTTTTACGATTGTGAGGAAAATAAAATTTCTTAAGTATACAAAACATGTCTAATTACAGCAGAGGTAATTAAATTAATAAGATAACTAGGGGGTAACCAGCGTTACCGTTACAGTGACTATGCTTAGTGTACGCAAGTTGTTACGGTGCCGGTATTGGTAACGAGAAATACCGTGAGATTTAAAGTCTGAGGTTAGAGGTTAGAGGTAATTAAAAGGGTAATTAAATCGAGCTTGGGTAATTAGAGTTACCAGTTAATGAAGAAATATACGCGCGTTATTCTCGCAACTATACACAGCTGAATGGCGCTGTATGTGCCCTGTATGGACGCTCTCATGGTCTATACAATTAAATAAATGTATAGCGCTACATAAAATATTCACACTTTATACAGGAATTTATTGTCTTCACACAGAATGTATAGCAAACTACACGAACAATACAGAGCCATACAGATCACACTATTGAATGATTACGATGGACATAACTGAATATATAAGAATGATAGCAAGCTCTAAATGATCGCACGAGTAGGATGGTCGTAGACATATGATCGTTACGAACGTAAAACGATCGTTAATACATAACGTAAAAGTTCCTACAGATGTAATTCCTACATCTTACTTGCTCTCGTGCCATCGTATGGTATATACGACCATCGTATGTCTGTCTCATATGTTCACGTAAGATGCTCTGCTATACGTATACGTAATACGTATACGAATACGTAAGATGCTCTGCTATACGTATACGAATACGTAAGATGCTCTGCTATACGTATACGTAATTCGTAAACGTATACGTAAGATGCTCTGCTATACGTATACGTAATACGTAAACGTGTACGTAAGATGATCTGACACGATGATATATATATTACCCTATATATAATGATATTGTCATATTAATCATCCGGCAATCAAACCATTAGTCCGTTACTAAAGCATTGAACTAGTAAACCTGGCATCTAGTGGGCCTACTAGCCTAACTACTCAGCGACTAGTTACCTAGCACCTCGCCCACTCAGCGACTAGTTAACTAGCACCTCGCCCACTCAGCGACTAGTTACCTAGCACCTCGCCCACTCAGCGACTAGTTAATCAGCGCCTAGTTACCTAGCACCTCGCCCACTCAGCGACTAGTTACCTAGCACCTCGCCCACTCAGTGACTAGTTACCTAGCACTTCGCCCACTCAGCGACTAGTTACCTAGCACCTCGCCCACTCAGTGACTAGTTACCTAGCACCTCGCCCACTCAGCGCCTAGTTACCTAACACCTCGCCCACTCAGCGCCTAGTTACGTTAGTATTACTAATAACATGACTATATATGACTGGCAATGTTACATGTCCAGTGATGAATCGCGACTAGTAAAGTGACTAGTGAAGTAACATGACACACTAAACACTAGCTGTATAGCGCACACTTTGTGTACAATCATGTTTACTATTATTGTGTATAATCACTGTGTACAACCATTTACACAATCTTTCAAATAAAAATAAGAAAAAAATATGAGACACCAAATCCTACAAAAAATTTAATTTGCCGAATTCAGAAAAACACAAAAAATGTTTGCGAATGAATAACTCTGGTTTATAGCGAAACCTACGTTAAATAAAAATGTCTGCCTAACCATACAAATGTAGATTAAAAATTTACATATACACTCTACAACTGCACATTTACTCTGTACACTGCAGTGTACACGTAAAGACAAAGGCGTACAGTATTATTGAAGTACAAGGGTATTATTCAATATTATTCAATAATACAAAGGGTATTATTGAAGTACCAACAAATTGTACACTCTTTGTTTATCATGTACCATTTACGTACACGCATGCAACATGTACAATCTACGTACACATATCATGTACACTCTATGTACACTAAGCCCTGAAGCCCGCCCCGCACCTTGTAACTATTGTAATGATGTAAGTAATTGTACTATATTATATTACAACATTGTAATATATATATATGTATATTATATTACAATTCACATAATTCAGTGGCTGCAAGTTGTATGGCCGCACATAGCGCGCCTATAATCAGCGTCATCATCGTAATGATAACAATAATCGTCATTATCATCACATTAGCAACAATCATTATTGTTGTCATCATAGTTATAACAATCATTATTGTTGTCATCATAGTTACAACAATCATTATCGTTGTCATCATAGTTACAACAATCATTATTGTTGTCATCATAGTTATAACAATCATTATTGTTGTCATCATAGTTACAACAATCATTATTGTTGTCATCATAGTTATAACAATCATTATTGTTGTCATCATAGGTACAACAATAATTATTGCTGTCATCATAGTTACAACAATCATTATTGTTGTCATCATAGTTACAACAATCATTATTGTTGTCATCATAGTTATAACAATCATTATCATTATAGTGATGCAGGGGCGGGAGACGGGCGACGGAATGGACGGAATGGACGGGCGGGGCTACCGTCCATGCCTGCGTGACGGTCACCATCATCAGATGATAGTGAGTGATGTTTGTACTGCGTTTGTGCTATGGTTGAGTAACGTTTGTGCTTCGATTGTGCAGCGCTTGTGCTTCGATTGTACAGTGTTTGTGCTTTGATTGTGCAGCGTTTGTGTTTTGTTTGTGCAGCGTTTGTGCTTTGATTGTGCAGCGTTTGTGCTTCGATTGTGCAGCGTTTGTGCTTCGATTGTGCAGCGTTTGTGCTTCGATTGTGCAGTGTTTGTGCTTTGATTGTGCAGCGTTTGTGCTTTGATTGTGCAGCGTTTGTGCTTTGATTGTGCAGCGTTTGTGCTTTGATTGTGCAGCGTTTGTGTTTTGTTTGTGCAGCGTTTGTGCTTTGATTGTGCAGCGTTTGTGCTTTGATTGTGCAGAGTTTGTGTTTTGATTGTGCAGTGTTTGTGCTTTGATTGTGCAGCGTTTGTGTTTTGTTTGTGCAGCGTTTGTGCTTTGATTGTGCAGCGTTTGTGTTTCTAATTTTGTGTTGTATTTGTGCTGTGTTTGTGCCGTGTTTATGATGATAGTGCCGGTCACGCAAGATGGCGGCCAGCACCCCTACTTATAACTAAAACTAGTTATATTCTTAACTATAACATTATATAACTAATTAATTTCTTAACTATCACTATAAATATTAGTTAGGATCTTAAATATAGCCAGTACCTCGGAATAGTAGATAATGACTATTTAAACTGGACTATGTTAAATTGATATTTTGACATGCTTGACATTTTCTATATAGTTTTTTAAGTAGCGACATTGAGGCTTGATATTTTCTATATAGTTTTTTAATTAGCGAGCATTTTGGCTTCATGAAAATGGCGTCTCGGTTATGCTTTTCGAAATTTGAACAGCTAAGCACGAAATCAGCCAGTTTTAATTACTATAAATTTCTTCATTAATGTACTGATAGAAAAGTCAATTTATGACGAATAACAATTCACATTTCAGTACACCTGCAGTACATATTGCTCTACGCCAGGCACAGCTAGTACAATTTATAGCACATCTTAGAAGTACATATTGAAGAGTAAAGTACTTATAGTAGAATATATACATTACTTATTGTAGAATACAGCACATGTTTTAGTGAGCTGAATATATCGCGGCACAAACTACATTTTAAGCACGCTATACATTTCATAGTACATTGTACACTTAGATATGTACAATAATAAATAGTTAGATGCTGGAATTAAATAATAGCGTAATTTCTACACCGAGAAATTAAGGAATATCTTGATCTATATGAATAGTGCAGTACATAGTGCGCAGTAATTCAATGATAACTAACAGTGAGAAAAGTGTGTCAACACGTACAGTGATGACCCACCTACGCATCCACACGGCAGACGTTATTAATAGTTAGTTCAAGTTGCGTCGGTGCGTAAAACATGAAATGAAATAGCGAGCTAAACAAATAATTATGAAATATGTAAAAATATGCAGCAGGATACTACATAGATAACAAAAATATGTGTAGCTATCGCAATAGGCTTACAATTTGGATATTTGGATATTGGCTTACAATTTTTGTATATTGTTTCGTACACATTGCGCGCACATGTTAATTATAATGGTGATGTCAATAATTAGGCAAACAATTAATAGCATCTTACATCGCGCTGCGAAAAGTTATTGTCTCACTAGGAACTATAAATTTTAAGGTAAAAATTAACTACGCAATCGGGTAAAATAACAATGAATTTGTTACCCTGAAAACTGCTGTATAGATGAACGTTAAATAAATACTATTGTATTTATTTCGTTAAAGCATGATCAAGGAGCTTTCAGTGTCGTAAGTTTTACAGATGTTGTAAGGTATACAGATGTTGTAAGTTATACAGATGTTGTAAGTTATACAGATGTTGTAAGTTATACAGATGTCGTAAGTTATACAGATGTTGTAAGTTATACAGATGTCGTAAGTTATACAAATGTCGTAAGCTATTCAGATGTTGTAAGTTATACAGATGTCGTAAGTTATACAAATGTCGTAAGCTATTCAGATGTTATAAGTTATACAGATGTCATAAGTTATACAAATGTCGTAAGCTATCCAGATGTTGTAAGTTATACAGATGTCGTAAGTTATACAAATGTCGTAAGCTATTCAGATGTTGTAAGTTATATAGATGTCGTAAGTTATACAAATGTCGTAAGCTATACAGATGTCGTAAGTATGTAGTAATAACTGATTTGTGCACATGCGCGTTGGTTTGAGAAGTCATGGGCGTTCTAAAAAAAATATATATAATAAGGTATGACTTACGTAAATGCATGTACGTAATTGTTGATAATGATATACGTGATCATAATTTATGATAAACTATGAAAGAAATGGTTATTCATAATGCTTGAAGGCGACTACTGATATCTGCATGATTATAATAAAACTACGCAGGATTATAAACAATGCTTGATTATACAAAATCTAAAATTCGATGTGATCAATTGCCATGGTAGTTAGCGCGCCATCTTTAACGAGCAGGCAGATCCAATTAGAACTTAGTTACTCTACTCGGTAGATAACTTATTCCATAGTAGATAATTGACTAAGTAGATAGTTGGGATCGTAGTTCTTTGGATAGATGGCAGCCGACTCAATAATTACCTGACTTAGTAGTTACTTGACTAATTAGTAAGCTTGATTTAGCAGCTACTTGACTTAGAAGTTACTTGACTTAGCAATTATTTGACTTAGTAGTTACTTGACTTAGTATTTACCTGACTGATTATTTCTTAGACTTAGAAGTTTGGTTACGAGACTTGATCGTCATAAGGTAATTAGCGCTAACCATATCACTGATTGCATAGAACTGGATCATTCCTAATCACTTCACTCTACAGTTCAATTCCCATCACTCTACTCTTCACTTCACTCGCACTCTATAATGTATATTGATACATTAAAAAATATAACTCAGTACTCACTGCAGTGAGTGACAAAGAGCACATTTTCTCGTCGACGAAAACGTGAAATCACAGACAGACGGACGGACAGACGGACTAACGGACGGACAGACAGACGGACGGACAGAAGGACAGACGGACGGACAGACAGACGGACAGACAGACGGACATGGCGAGCACAATAGCGCCTTTTTACATAAATGAGAAAATGCGCTAAAAATGTTGTGAAACCTCACCGCACTACCGACAGCAGGCGACAGGACACTAGCACACCTCCAACTAAGTTAACTCAACATTTTACTTAAGCAAGAATCAAATCATCAACCTTCCTCTATGTTTACATTAATATCTGCACTTAGACATATATCTTCGCGCTTGTTGAAACACAAACATAATGCAAGTTAAAGCACCATTATGGTGTACGTCGAAACATTATCATCATTCGTATTGAAATATCAAGAGTATGTAATTTGAAACTTCTCCACCAAACGTCCAGCTCACATTGTGAGCTGGACCTCCAACCCTACCGCTTGTATCGTACATTGCATTTATTAATTCATATCCAAACGGTTTAAACCAGTAAGCCAATAGTCACATATAATGCAAGTACAGGAGGTATGACAATTTCGCGGCATCGAATAGTCTTAAATAACAATTAAATCCGTCAATTCAGCTCATTTGGATAATCCAAGTATTATTAGGGGAACTGATGACCAATTTTTTGACGCCCCATATTCCTATACCGATAACGCCAATAACAGAACTAAGCATCAAGTCCTATGAGATTTTCGAAGTCAAAATTGGCATCGAGCATAGACAAAGTCTTGCTCTCATCCCAAGGGTAGTCATCGCCCCAGCAGTGCGCATGCGCGTCCTGAACGATCACCGAAGTTGCCACAGGTTCCAGGGGCGTTAGACCAAGAAGAGGCCCTTCAGTGACCCTAAAACTGCTCATAGAAGGAAGACTCATGAACTTCTGATCTTCAGTTGACCCTGGGGACAGGAGGTTGTCATCCCCTATGGCTTGGGAATGTAGATGGAGAGGTTGTTGGTGTTGAGAGGGGCTGAAGACTTTACCTTCCGGAGTTTCACTCTGAATTTGATCCAAAAAGTTTATAACGGATGAAGAACTGTTTACATCTTCCCCTTGATACTGTGAATGCCAAGTTGAATGTGTGGAGGAAGTGGTTACTGGCTGCAAGGCCTGGGGCATTTCTTGACTGAGATCAAGTGATGAGAACTCATCTCCACCATCGTTGGATGCCTCTGAGTACTCCGGAGTAGCGAAAAATTCTTCGCCGAGTTTGGTTGACGATGGACTCATATCTAGGGAATGGAAAAGGATTTGGTTGTGACTTGACCTTTGATGAATGCTCTCGATGCTTGGAAGTTGTTGGTATTGTTGGCTTGTATGACCACCGGAACTGAAATGTCCGTAATCTGTTGTTAGAGAGCCAGACAGGAGACCTAGAGAATTGGAATGACCATCTGGGGAGCCAGAGGTTGAGAGGGAATAACTTAAGTTTGTGGCTCCCATTTCATCTGATGATGAAGATGGTAGGTAGCTGGATGTAGATGGAGTGAGGTAAGTTGTTGGCTGTCCCATGCTAGAATCGGATGACTGCTGTGTCATGTAGTTTGAGGGGGAAGGGGCCAAATCGGTGGAAGTGGGAGTAGTTAGGTAAGTAGAAGGGTCTCCAGAGTGGGTTAGGTCAGTCACCAGCTCCTGGGTTCGGCTCATCGCCCAACCTTCCTGTTGGTTGTCGTCCAAAAGTAGACGCCAGGCAAAGTCATCTCTCAGTGTGTCGTTGGTGACCTCCTCCAACGTTAGAGTCCGCTCGCTGATAACTGAGGACAAAATAACGAATTAAAGAAAATTAAAAAATTTGCAGCTTTGAAAACAAGTTTGTGATGAGTAAGCAATGCCAGTTTGTCTTATTTCTTATTTTGCTGCACAGGCTCGCCGAAATGGTTCTCAATCGCAAAATTGTAATATTTGATGCCATCAAAAACATGCCTAAAAGATATAAATTTTCCGGATGAATGATAACTAACGAACAGTATTGATAAAATCAAAGTTTCTCAACTTACGTTTCAGCCGTCAAATTTGGCAATTTGTGATTATGTGCAGAATAAATATGGTTACCTTCATCATGGTAGTATGCCCCATCGTTGTTGGATTCATCAGCGGCAGGGGGAGGTGGTGGCAGGTAGGGCATAGGGTGGTGGATGATGACCTTACTACCGTCCAACGGACCTAGTGCATCTAGGGTGGTTTGGCAGCTAGTGGCGAACCCGTCTCTAGACGCCAGTGCGTACTGTGGTTGTGGTTGTACCACACCACCGCTACCATGAGTGGTAGTCACATTTACCACCTGCTTCTGAATTTGACTGTTGTTCTTCTTGTTTTTAGTGATAGGAGGGGAGGTGGGTTTGTTGGGTCTCCGTTTCTTGAAGGTTCCATCACTCAGCGACTCGCTAAAGACAGGGTCGAGGCACCAGAAGCCCCCCTTGCCTGGCTCGTCCTTGGACCTCGGCACTTTCAGGAAGCTCTTGTTCAGAGACAGGTTGTGTCGAATCGAGTTCTGTGGGTAAGATACTGTTAGAAATCCATGCGAATGCTTCAAAGGTTACAGATCTATTTGAAGAAAGTTAATTTAACTCAAAGTCTGCCAGCGCAACATGCAGCGTCACACGTATAGGTGCAACGACTCTCACACGTCGTAGGTGAACCAGGCGGCAGGCGCACCACCTACCTCGACCTGCAAATTCACCAAGTGCACAAGCCTCAGGTGCACCAGAAGCAAAGCGTTAGTTAGGTGCACCAGCGTCAGGTTCACCAGGTGCATCAGGCACACCATCTACCACGACTGGCAGGTTCACTAAGTGCACACGCCTCAGGTGCACCAGGTGCAGAAGCGTCAGGTGCACCAGCGTCAGGTTCAGCAGGTGCACCAGGCGCACCATCTACCACGACCGGCAGGTTCACCAGGTGCACAAGCGTCAGTCTCAAGAGGTTCACCAGCTGCACACAACCTTGCACCCTCTTCCACCAGCAAGGCCCATTTATAATTCACGTGACCATCGATTGCCGTCACGTCACGGAACTTGGACAAGACAATCGATGGCAGCGCGCGGCTGCTGGCGTGGCCTTTACTCTTGCACGAGAAATGAAACCTGCGTGGCTGCTGCTCGGCTCTATCTTATATGTATGTATTTGTCTTGCTGTCTTTGCCGTTACTTGACATCTTCTACTGACGAATGAAACCTGTATAGCAGCTGCTGCTTAACACTATTCTTATTTTTAATTTATAAGATTTCAAGCTTATGTGATGGTATCTCGTATTCCATCATTTTCAACTAATCTGTTGTTATTCATCTGAACTTTTATACGATCAGGATGAGCTTTGTACAAATATAGTCTGCCTTTGATCATCAGAGCTCAGGGATTGCCGGTGAGGAGCTTCGCGCCTGTGATGGCGTTTATTGTTTTAAACACGATATATTTTTTCTGTCTCCGAATACATTGAAAAAAAACCTTTTGATATCGTTTTTGGGCTTTAAAAAATGTTTACAGAAATTCATTGAAAGGAAGCATAAAGTTTGTTCTCACCTGCCACGAAGGGTCGGCAGTCTTGTAGTAGACGTAGTGTTTCCTGATCCATTCATAAATGGCAGAGAGCGTCATTTTGTTAGCGTTTTCCTTCATGGCCATGCATATGAGCGAGGCATAGCTAAAAGGGGGTTTGACCGACCCGTCTTTGGCGTAATCGATTGGGTCTGCCCGTTGTACTTCCTCCACTACTTCGTTTTGTTTGACCTTTCGTTTAGCGTCTTTGGAGGAGGCATTAGATGACCCAAGGGGTGGGGAAGCCGGTGGGGTGGGTGGGGTGGATAAATGGGGCACCATACCCACCATATCCAGCGAGTGCAGCCATGACAACGACGTCAGATCATCGTTATGGGCCATCGACTTGGCGGCTGGGCTGGCAGGGGGAGTTCGTTGGGCCTTCTCTGAATTCTGGTTGGTGAAGTTTGCTACTTTTATTTCCTTTGTGGGCTTCGAATCTTGACCCATTTGCAAAGAGGGTTTAAAGTTACAAGAAGAAGTTTTCAAGGGCTTCGACTGTGGATAGTTCGCTACACTGATGTCATTGGTAGCAGGTACAGCTGATGACGCAAGGGTTCTGTGTGACGGGCTGCTGGTGGCAGGAGTCCATTTGCTTTTACTGCTCACAGCAACGCATTTTATTGCGATGCCGGAAGAAGAAGCAGTTCTTTTTGCCTGATGCTCGTATTCTGATGTTTCTGATACCGATTCTATGCTTCGTTTGGCTGTAGATCTCGTGCACGTAGGAGAATTATTTTGAACTGCGCGGACGCCTGGGCGGGTAGAAGTGCTGTCACAAAATCGACCGAAATCATCGTGCTCGTGTTCATTCTTGATGAGTTCAACAGTTGGACATTCATCCATAGCTTCATCGTCGATGTTACTCAAGAGAGGACTAATCTCTAGTATTCTAGTGTCCAAAGATTCATTTTCATCCTGATTGCAAGTCACGATAGGATTTTTTGTAGTCCCAGAAGCCTTTATTGTGTTTCGTTTAGAAACTGCAGTAACCACTGAGTTTTTTGCGGAACCGGAGATTCCTAGAGGCGTTGTTGTGTAGTTTGGTTTGCCAGGCTTGAGCGTGATTATACCGCTCTTAGATTGAGTTATATTGGAAGGGGAGAAGGTCTTTGTTATAATAGTTGTGGACCGTACGGGTAACGTGTATCTCTTCATTGCGTGTGTGACATTCACCGAGTGTTCTGTGTTCTGGAACGTCTTTCCAAACCTAACGTTATTTACGGCGTCACTGGAGCGAGTAACCCTGCCTCTGGATGAAAGTAAGTCCCCATTTGTTTCCCCTTGGGTTTCCATCAGCTGGAGTTTGTCAATTAGCACACCATTTCTCCTCCCCATCCCGCTGCACTCGAGTTTCTTCACTCCTGGTCTGGGGCCGGAGTCACTCTTTACTGCCTTGATTTTGACGACAGGGGAGGTGGCAGGATCTTGCCGTTTCAGGGGGGTATTTTTCAGCTGAATTTTGCCCCTGCGGCACAGACTTTTGTTTTTATTAGAGACCACGCTTGGTGTGGGGGACTTGTTGGGATTTATTTTGGGATTAAAATGGCGGCGGCGTTGAATGATGATCGTCCGACAGTCAGGAAGGTGCTTTTCATCATACATTTTTACGCTGACGACGTGGCAGCAAACTCTCGACTATCTTACGGTCTGTACGTGAAATTACTTAAAAAAAAGTTATAAGAATTATGATATACCTTATAGTGAAGGTGAAAGAAACGTCACTATCACTCCAAAAAATAAGGTAGTGAAGCTAACTTTGATTAGGATTACTGAAATGTTACCGATACTTTCACCATTGTTACAAAATTCTGTCCACACATTGGGCCGCATTATGTATCATTAAGTATTCAGTTTACTGCCCACATGCTGCTTAGATATTTCATGTTTTTTTTATCTCCGGTAAGGATTCTGGGAACATTCATAAGGAAATGCTTGGAACATTCAGACGGGAATATTTGGAACATTCAGACAGGATTGTTTGGAACATTCAGACTGGAATGTTTGGAGCATTCAGACAGGAATGTTTGGAACATTCAGACTAGAATGTTTGGAACATTCAGACGGTAGTGCTTGCAAAATTCAGACGGAAGTTCGCGAAGACAAACGTTGTTCTCGTATCCACATTTTTCATTTCTTCTCGTCTTTAAGAAATTATCAATAATACAAATTCAGTTAATATTTCAGCGTTTCTCGTTTTCCAGTTTATATTTAATATTATTTCACTTGGCTTGTGGCCTCCACTTGAACAGGGCGGCAAGAGGATTTAATCTGTTAGGATTTAATGAACTGCAATAGAAAACATGTAATTAGATTATCAATTAATAAATATGTCGACGTCATGTGCACAATTAAACTACTGGAAACGCTACTACCTTCCCTCTCCCTCATGTTTCTACCCCCTTCCCTCTGTTTCTACCCTCATCCCCCTTTCCCTCTGTTTCTACCCTACTCCTCCCTCTGTTTCTACCCTCCTCCCTTTCCCTTCCTTTCTTCCCTCCTCCATTTCCCTTCGTTTCTACCCTGCTCCACCTTCCCTCTGTTTCTACCTTTTCTACCTGTTTTTGCCGGTGGGTGGGAGGAGGGATGGACGAGGAAGAAATGAGGGGTGTAGGAGGTGGAGGGAATGTAAGGAGGATTGAGAGGATGGAGGAATGGAATGGAAGGAATAGGGGGATGAGGAGGAAACGAGGGATGAACGGAAAAAGGGATGGGGGTTGGAGGGGAGAAGGAGGGGAGGGGGGAGGTAATGATGCCTGAGAATTGATTTTACGACAGGAACGGAAGGTGGAATGGACAGGTGATGTTGGGAGGGTGATGAGGGTGATGAGGGGAGGGTGATGAGGGGAGGGTGATGAGGGGAGGGTGATGAGGGTGATGAGGGTGATGGAAGAGTGATGAGGGTGAGGGTGATGAGAGTGAGGGTGATGAGGGTGAGGGTGATGAGGGTGAGGGTGATGAGGGTGAGGGTGATGAGGGTGAGGGTGATGAGGGTGAGGGTGATGAGGGTGAGGGTGATGAGGGTGAGGGTGATGAGGGTGAGGGTGATGAGGGTGAGGGTGATGAGGGTGAGGGTGATGAGGGTGAGGGTGATGAGGGTGAGGGTGATGAGGGTGAGGGTGATGAGGGTGAGGGTGATGAGGGTGAGGGTGATGAGGGTGAGGGTGATGAGGGTGAGGGTGATGAGGGTGAGGGTGATGAGGGTGAGGGTGATGAGGGTGAGGGTGATGAGGGTGAGGGTGATGAGGGTGAGGGTGATGAGGGTGAGGGTGATGAGGGTGAGGGTGATGAGGGTGAGGGTGATGAGGGTGAGGGTGATGAGGGTGAGGGTGATGAGGGTGAGGGTGATGAGGGTGAGGGTGATGAGGGTGAGGGTGATGAGGGTGAGGGTGATGAGGGTGAGGGTGATGAGGGTGAGGGTGATGAGGGTGAGGGTGATGAGGGTGAGGGTGATGAGGGTGAGGGTGATGAGGGTGAGGGTGATGAGGGTGAGGGTGATGAGGGTGAGGGTGATGAGGGTGAGGGTGATGAGGGTGAGGGTGATGAGGGTGAGGGTGATGAGGGTGAGGGTGATGAGGGTGAGGGTGATGAGGGTGAGGGTGATGAGGGTGAGGGTGATGAGGGTGAGGGTGATGAGGGTGAGGGTGATGAGGGTGAGGGTGATGAGGGTGAGGGTGATGAGGGTGAGGGTGATGAGGGTGAGGGTGATGAGGGTGAGGGTGATGAGGGTGAGGGTGATGAGGGTGAGGGTGATGAGGGTGAGGGTGATGAGGGTGAGGGTGATGAGGGTGAGGGTGATGAGGGTGAGGGTGATGAGGGTGAGGGTGATGAGGGTGAGGGTGATGAGGGTGAGGGTGATGAGGGTGAGGGTGATGAGGGTGAGGGTGATGAGGGTGAGGGTGATGAGGGTGAGGGTGATGAGGGTGAGGGTGATGAGGGTGAGGGTGATGAGGGTGAGGGTGATGAGGGTGAGGGTGATGNGGGTGGGGGTAATGGGGGATAATTGAGGGAGGGGAGGGGAGGGGGAGCGGAAGCAGGTGAGCATGACCGGCGCTTGTGTGAGGGGGGGAGAGGGGAGGTGAGGGGAGGTGAAGGAAGGTGAGAGAATGTGAGGGAAAATGAGGGAAGGTGAAGGAAGGTGAGAGAATGTGAGGGAAGGTGAGGGAATTTGAGGGAAGGTGAGGGAAGGTGAGGGAAGGTGAGGGAAGAGTGAGGGGAGGCGAGGGAAGGCTTGAAGGTTAGGGGAGGTGAGGGAGAAGTGAGGGGAGTTGGAAGGTGAGTGAAGGGATTTTAGGCAGGTTGTTCATGGGAATTGAGGGGAGCAGTGAGGTGGAAGTGAGGGGAGTTGAGGGCTAAGCGCCGCGTCTATTGATCATCTTGCCTCAGCCAACCGCCGCGAGGGTAAAGTTGCCACGCGTCGCCAGACGGCAGAATTTGACCAAAGCTGTTGCACAATATCTCCCCTCTAGACAACACGCGAGGGGAGTTATTTATATTATTCTTGTCATAATGATAGTATTGTTATCATTAGTATTGCAATTATTATCACTATTTTATTATTCTTATTATTATTATTATCAGCCTTGAAACAATTAGTAACAATAAATACCTTTATAAATAAAGGAGCTAAAATTGAACCATTGCTTCATACCGCAACGTAGGATTGAAGTCTGCGCTGAGAAAAATAAGTGATACTTTGTCCAGATTTCGACGTACTCATTGCTCTATTTGGGTCATCCTGACCCAGTTTAGCACGACAAAAAGGCGTGCATGAAGGGAAAATATGTCTGAGGGAATTTCATTTCAGGCGAGGGAAGGCAATGCTGGTGAGCTTCCCTCAGTGTTTTGGGCAACCCGCGCTCTGATTGGCCGGCGCCTCGACCAATCAGCGGCCGCCGAGACGCTGCGTCAGCGCGCACTTTTTGGTCCCAAATGAGGCTCGCTCCCCCCACCCAGAGGCCCGGACCCTCTCACCCCTCACCCCTGGCCTCACCCACACGGGAATTAGAAGGAAGGGAGAGATCTTTTTTGCAGTATTTTTTTCAATATTTATTTATTTCTGCAGCGCAAACATGAAAATAACTTCTGCTTTAAATAAACTCCGTGTTGATACTGGACTACCGAGACTGCTACCGGGACTGCTACTGGGACTGCTACCGGGACTGCTACTGGGACTGCTACTGGGACTGCTACTGTGACTGCTACCGGGACTGCTACCGGGACTGCTACTGGGACTGCTACCGGGACTGCTACTGGGACTGCTACTCGGACTGCTACTGGGACTGCTACTGGGACTGCTACTGGGACTACTACTGGGACTGCTACTGGGACTGCTACTGGGACTGCTACCGGGACTGCTACTGGGACTGCTACTGGGACTGCTACCGGGACTGCTACCGGGACTGCTACCGGGACTGCTACCGGGACTGCTACCGGGACTGCTACCGGGACTGCTACCGGTATCAGTAAAGTGCGTCATTGTAGAAACCTTGCATCAGTATTCTCATTTATGTCATAGTACTTCATCATGTCAACATAGTCACAGATGGGTCACAACGACCCACAAAATGCATGCAAGCTTTTGTTATAATCCAATGCATTAATTTCAACAGCTCCAAGCTACACACATAAAAATAAGCTTGCTTTTGTCCATTTTATATTAATAAAGTTTCTTTTGTTGTTGTTATTTTTGTAGAGAAAGAAATTGCTCGTTAGCACTCAGGAATATGAAGGGTCATTTTGTCAAAATATTGACCCACTTTCTTACCCACAGCAGAGAGCGGACGTAGCACTGATACGCCCTTACGTTAGGCCAAACTGAGTCAGGATGACGCACACATTGGCAAGAAGTGCGTCGTTATTTCGGCAAATTCCCACTCATTCCTATGAGTGATAGTGTGTTTTATATACATGGCAATTTCCTCAATTAAAGGATATTCGATGTCCACAATATCGGATATCCTTCGATATTGAGGATGGGGGTTGAGTTCTATATTGAAACTATGAATATTTATTTTTATTTGTGTATTTCAGTACCTGTATGCTTGTGTAATTGTATAAAATAGTTATTAAATCTAGTTAGAACTCTTAGAGATAAGCTTAATTAATAAAAGGTTAGTAGGTTAATTAGTTAAACGGGAGATCCAACAATGTTTTTTTTTTTTTTGAGGACCATATAACTTGAGTTTGAAAATTGTAAGCGCGGTACCTGCGTTGCGGCGGAATATGGTTTAATGAGGTTTGTTATAATGTAATGGAATATAATATAGTATAGTATAATATAACATAATATAATATAATATAATAAGTACAGCCCTAGTATCCAGTACAGCACTAGTATCTAGTACGGCCCTAGTATCTAGTACAGCAGCTCTAGTATCTAGTACAGCCCTAGTATTTAGTACGACCCTAGTATCTAGTACAGTCCTAGTATCTGGTACGGCCCTAGTATCTAGTACGGCCCTAGTATCCAGTACAGCACTAGTATCTAGTACAGCCCTAGTATCTTGTACGGCCCTAGTATCTAGTACGGCCCTAGTATCTAGTACAGCCCTAGTATCTAGTACAGCCCTAGTATCTAGTACGACCCTAGTATCTAGTACAGCCCTAGTATCTAGCACAGCCCTAGTATCTAGTACAGCCCTATTATCTAGTACAGCCCTAGTATCTAGTACGACCCTAGTATCTAGTACAGCCCTAGTATCTAGCACAGCCCTAGTATCTAGTACAGCCCTAGTATCTTGTACGGCCCTAGTATCTAGTACAGCCCTAGTATCTAGTACGGCACTAGTATCTAGAACAACCCTAGTATCCAGTACAGCCCTAGTATCTAGTACGGCCCTAGTATCTTGTACAGCCCTAGTATCTAGTACAGCCCTAGTATCTAGTACAGCCCTGGTATCTAGTACGGCCCTAGTATCTAGTACAGCTCCTATATTTAGTACACCTCTATTATCTAGGACAGCCCCGTATAATTTGCGCGTTTAATTTCTACAAAAAAATAATCATGGAAAATCAAGCCGCGACAAAACCATCAGCCGCCGCCATTTTGTTTCCCTCAGATCTCCCCTCAAATCTGGTCTGATTTCCCCTCAGACGAGAGGGGAAAGAGAGAAGGGAGGAGGGTGAGGGGGAGACTGAAGAATATTTAGAAAATGGAGGAATCGCAGTTACAACGGATGGAAATTTGTACAAAGTCTTACTTATTTTTCTGAGTGATATGTTCAATAGGAATGTCATGTGGAAAAAAACTAACCTTATATACGAGGATTATTATTATCTACAATTATATGTATAATTATGCGTATCATTATAGGTATAATTATATCTATATTATATGTACAATTCTATCAATAATAATTATTTTTGTATAAATTAAATATAAATATAAATATAAACCTATAATTATTTTTGTACATAAAGCAACAATCAGAAAACTAAGTTGCTTATATTGTCCCAATAATAACACACTTTCTACGCGTAACCCTGGTACGTCCGAGCAAAACTGGTTCAGGAAGGCACACACAAGTGCAAGAATTGTATCGCTGTGTGGACAAACTCTCTGAATATTTCTGAGTATAACCATGAATTAAATAGGTATACAAATAGATGGTATATATCATCATCTTAAATAGGTGGTATACATCATCATAATAAATAGGTGGTATATATAATCTTCTTAAATAGGTGGTATATATATCATCATGTTAAATAGGTGGTATATACCATCATCTTAAATAGATGGTATATACCATCAGCCTGAGCTGGTGTAGGTGCGTGAAGTTGAACCATCCGCGGGCGGTGGTTACTTCAGAGCGTGGCAGGTGGTTTGTTGCCACCTGCCACAACCAGCTGCAGTTGCCACCTGCCATCTAAACACTGCCACTATATATACTGGATCGTTTGTTCCTCCACCATTACACTACCGTTCCACCACCATTACACCACCGTTCCACCACCATTACACTACCGTTCNACGCGTTACTTTGTTCCCTCCACCGCGACAAACGCGTTACTTTGTTCCCTCCACCGCGACAAACGCGTTACTTTGTTCCCTCCACCGCGACAAACGCGTTACTTTGTTCCCTCCACCGCGACAAACGCGTTACTTTGTTCCCTCCACCGCGACAAACGCGTTACTTTGTTCCCTCCACCGCGACAAACGCGTTACTTTGTTCCCTCCACCGCGACAAACGCGTTACTTTGTTCCCTCCACCGCGACAAACGCGTTACTTTGTTCCCTCCACCGCGACAAACGCGTTACTTTGTTCCCTCCACCGCGACAAACGCGTTACTTTGCTATATTCTCCATCATTTATCTATTAATATCTTATATTTGAGACGAGGTATCGATATCGTTCCATAATATCCAAATTTCTTTTAATTTTGTTTAAAAATGTTCATATTCACGGTATTTTTGTTCTGACATTTTGTTTAAAGTTATTAACTATTACTGCAGTAATTTCACACATTGAAGATCAATCACATATACAATCACTAATTGAAGATCAGAATGTAAAATATATTGACTGTTCGATATATATATCGAAGGTTGTATATATTATATACATGGATCTGATATGGTTGGATATACGTATATGTAAAATATATTTAATACGGAAAATATATACAGTCTCTTTGATAGCTTGTGAATGAGACCAAATAATTACCATTAATGTAGTATGTTACATTATATATTATAAATATATTATATTACATTGTTACATTATGTAATTAGTCATTATATGCTAGATGTACAGTGTAGAGTGGTAGATTTTATGTGGTTTTATGGTAGATATTATAGTTTTTTGTAGTAAACGAGGGCATCACTTAACCGTGGTCAACTGAGGGCACCAATTAACCGTGGGCACCACTTAACCGAAGTCAACCGAGTTCATATTAACCTCGTCCTCATCCCGATTATCGCCATTTAATTATGCGCGGCTGGCTCGTAGTTCCGTGCTCACGTCATGAGAAATTAATGAAGAGGATCGAGGGTTAGAATAATGAGGGCACGCGCAACGCAGCGAACGGTACACAACATCCCACACCGACCGCCAGGCGGCGACTGAGAGCGAACTGCAGCACCTGCCGCCGGTGCTGCAAGGTATACCTGGTCTCTTATACACATCTAGATGTGTATAAGAGACAGCCCCTCTTCCCCTCTATGGGGTAGACAAGGGTAGCCACTTCAAGCCAGAGATTTATGAGCGTACGACACTTTCAACGTGCTCAGCGCTAGCATCCAATGAAAATGTGAAAAGTCCTGTTTAGCAGTGATGAAAACATTTTTTGGTTGTGAATATCTACAAAATGGATGTTGATTCTGACATGTATTTAGTAACATCAGATAGAGAATGAATAGTACTACACGTTAACGTCTCAAAAATTTCGATAAGACGCCGGTTTAATTAACATCGAGGTACAAAATTATCATCTATCATAACTGGTGTTAAACAAAGCTTACATATTTTTTGTTCCTTTACACGGATTGTAAATAAATACCTAGATAAGTATGGAAAATTTCAGATCGTCATCTCATTTACGAGTGGAGTAAAGTTCACCCTAATTAGTGAAGAACTGCTTAGGAACCTGTCCGGGACCTCGCGTCTCTCAAGCACCACCTTAATATTTCTTCATAGGACTTGCCTTTCAAGCCTGGAATTATCCTTGTTGCACGTCTTTGAACATTCTCTATTAAATTTCTTAAAGTAGATTTGAAAAGGACAAGTCTTTGACTTCATAAACGTTTATTATATATTTTAAATATTTTCATATAAAACAAAGTAATTGGTAACATAAATAAATAACAAGATGCAACAATTGGGACGGCCCTCATCGTAGACTCCTGCGCTTGGTGTTTTATCCCATTCGAGACGAGACGAGACGAGACTACAGGGTTTATCCCAGTAGGTAATAAAAACCGGGACAATTTTCAGCACTCCGCAGGAATTTCGGGACAATACCGAGACGAGACGTGCCAGATAAAATAGGAACTTTAAAATTTCCTGTAATTTTCATCTTTTATGACGGGATTTAGCGAGACATAATGAGCAAGATATAGCGAAATATACTGGGTAATCTTAAAATATAATATGAATATTAAATTTTTTGAGACATTATCTGATCAACATTTTGTCGGTTCACAAATTTTCGCGTATGTAAAATGTAAAATGACATCGCTATTGCCCATGTAGAAAATTTTAAGGGCCAGGGTTAAATTACCGCCTCTGCTAGTAGTGTGAATAACTAATTAGTGATTACCCTCCTCAATTACCAAGGATCTAAATAGAGTGGTAATTTCACTATTCAAGCGACAGTCACCCAAACGAATAAATAATTTTAAAAATAATATATGAATCACACTTATCACAAGTAATCACCATATTCAAATAGTAACTTCTCTAGTAACCTCTTCAACAATTCATCACCCCTCAACACCAACAATATTGTTTAATAAAAACAACTTCAAGATAGTAGGAAACTATTTAAACATGTACAAATATAATCTATTCCTAAAGCTTTCAGTTTTTGTTGAACGCACAAGTTGACACACTCCAACACCATCATTACACCTCCAACACCACACAACCTGTGGTGTGGTGTGTGGTGCTGCACCTCCAACACCACACACTCCATACCTCCAACACCACGCACCCCATACCTCCAACACCACACACCTCCCACACCACACCACTAACACCACACCCCCATAACACCCCATCACACGCCAAGCCTCCTGTAGAAGAGCGTGTTAGCGTATGCGTGTTCCACGACGTTATTGTAGTTGTGGTCCGTCAGGTCCGACACGCCAGGCTCAGCGTCGGCGGGTCTACGAATCTTTGGGTTTCCCCTGAGATCGTTTTCTACACCGTTTTTTATGCCGTTTTCTGTTTCAGTGTCCTTGTTTTCTTCGTCACCGTCACCGGGGACTACAATAAACGGGACAGGCACTTCGTCGGTGTAGTCCTGTTGGCTTGTGGGTTCTTCCTCGTCTAAAAAGTCGGCTTCGTCTTCTAAAAAGTAGAGTTCGGCCTCGGACATGTTGCTAGGGTCAAACTCTTGCGCCTCGTCCGTAGGCTCTTCCTCGGGCGGGCTGCAAATATAATAATAAAATACCATAATATAACAGCGACGTAAAGTAAGCAGGAGAGTTGTTAATTTAATCGAATGATGGGAATATTAAATGAATTTTTAACACAATTGGATGGCGGAAATATTACCTTCATGTTCACTACTATTAAGACAGGGAATGGAATGAATAATTCATAGTTAAGTTGAGTTGAGGGAGAAGTTCAGGGAAGAGAACTGCACTTAAAGTAAGAAATTGTTAAATTAAGTAAATATTTATGCGTTAGATAGATAATATATTGTTAAATAAGTAGTCTCGTATTACATAAATAATCTCGTATTAGATGAGTTATCTCATATTAGAAAAGTAATCTCGTATTAGATAAATAATCTCGTATTAGATAAGTAATCTTGTTTCTAATGTGCCCAAAGATGTGTTTAGCAATGAATCGGTCTAATAACTCCCCTCATAAATAAGATACCAGTCTAAAATTTTGAATGCTATCCCGGTTAATTATTTTCAATTTGCTGACATCAAGATATATTATGTAAACTTTTTCTTCCAGCTGTTTAATATTCAGAGTTGGAGCAACCGTGAACAGGACACTTAAGAGGAGCAAATTTTAAATTTATATTATAATTTATCACAATCCCCCTTTCTCCCCTCACCAGCCCTTCTCTTTCCCCCCCCCCCTGAGAATGAGGGCAATTGGCCCTCAAATAAGGCCCCTCCCCACATGCTCCTCCCCTTCGCCCCTCATTTTGACCAAAAAGAGGGCGGCCTCCTGGTCCCCTCTTTTGCCAACAGTTCCCTCACTTCAGAAAGACTCCCCTCGGGGCGCCGCAAAATGGCCTTCATCTCACCCTCACTTTTCGCTAAATTTCCCCCACTTTCCCCTCAATTTCCTCCATTTTTTCTCTCACTTTCCCTTTTCACTTTCACCTCACACTCTTATATCACTTTCACTTCACTTTATTCTCATTTTATCTTCATTTTCCCTCCAATTTCCAGTAATTTTCCCTTACACTTTCACCTTCCTTTCACCTCACCATCCCCTAATTTTATCTTCATTTTTACCTCACTTTCCTCTCACACTTTTACACTCCTTTCATCTCACTTTATCTTCATTTTTTCCTCACTTTCCCTTCAATTTCCCCCGCACCTTTCTTCTCTTTTTCCCCTTTCTTTCCACTTTTCTCCCTAACTTTACCCTCAATATTTTCTCTCAATTTCCCCTCACTTTCAATCATGACATTAATCCCCCGCGCGCCCCCCTCACCTGGGGGTGACGTTGACTCCCCACCCCGAGTAGTGGAAGCCGGGGAAGTCTTCCCCAACCTCCTCCCGCCAGGCCGTCAGGTTCATCGCGGGGATTTCGGAGCAGGGGAGGCGGGCGTTCCTGGGGAAGACAAAAGGGGGGGAGTTGGGATGAAATGGGGAGGTGAGAAAACCTGGGGGTAGAGGGTGGAGTGAGAAAGGCGCGGAATGACCAATAGAGTGGAGATGGAGTGGGAATAGAGTGGGGATCTAGTGGGAATTGAGGGGGCTTGTAGCGAAGGATTGAGTGGGAATGTGGTGGGAATGGTGGGGATATGGAGCGGGAATGGAGTGGGGATGGAGCACTGCAGTTTAACAGGATGCTGTGTTATGCTGCTGAGCTCCATGGAGTATATTTACGCAGTAAATTCTCATCATAAATGGAGTGCTGTAATGGAGCGAGTGAGTATGACTCACTTGGAGTTGTAGATGGGTCAGTATGACTCACTTGGAGTTGTAGATGGGTCAGTATGACTCACTTGGAGCTGTAGATGGGTCAGTATGACTCACTTGGAGTTGTAGATGGGTCAGTTTGACTCACTTGGAGTTGTTGGTCGGAGGCCGGAAGACGTTAGGCTGGATGTCGTCCACATCGTCCAGGTTATCGCACAATATTTTGGCCAGCGATACTTTGCGTACCTGAAAAATACAAAGATTAAAAACACAAATAAAATATAATAAATTGGTGATAAATATACAAATAAAAATAATAAATGGGATTTAAATATACAAATAAAAAATAATAAATAGGGAACGTTTGCATTTAATCTGTGCTAAATTGAAACAAATGTTTATAAGAAATATGTTGGAATTTATACTGATAAGATTGATATTAATCGGAACTTAGGTTTGTCGAGACGCGCTTATTAGAAAATATATAAATGAAGATATGTTTTCACTGCGTTAGATAAATAGAGTCGTAAATGAAAGAATTATTAATTGATCGACGAAATCTTAAACTCTTTCAATAATTGATATAAATATCATGACTTCGTAATTTACACTGAGGGTTATTGAAAGAATTCGAGTAAACGAACTTGAAGACGCGTAGAGATATGTGAACACGTGAAGATACGTAAAGATACGTGAAGATACGTAAAGATACGTGAAGATACGTGAAGATACGTGAAGATACGTAACGATATGTAAAGATATGCAAAGATACGTAAAGATACGTGAAGATACGTAACGATATGTAAAGATATGCGAAGATACGTAAAGATACGTAAAAATACATAAAGATACGTAAAGATACGTTAATATACTTAAAGATACGTGAAGAAACGCACCTCGTTAAGCTGGTCAATTGTGAAGGACGACACCATCCCGCCGTTCTCGAACCAGAACCTGTCGCCTGCGAGGGTGAACCGTGAACAGGTTAGAACCGCGAACAGGTTAGAACCGTGAACAGGTTAGAACCGCGAACCGGCGACAGCTACGGCATCAGTAAAGCAAGTCTCGTGGCAGTATTTGTGTTGATTAAAAGGAGAGGGAGATCGATCCTCACTCTCCCTGACTCTCCCTCACTCTCCCTGACTCTCCCTGACTCTCTCTGACTCTCCCTCATCCCAGGGGCAGGTGATCTGGCGCAAACTACACAGCACATCCCGCGCTGTATTGATTTACACAGACGGTGTACAGTCAGTGTATTGATCTATACAGACGCTGTACAGTCAGTGTATTGATTTACACAGACGATATACAGTCAGTGTATTGATCAACATAGACGGTGTACAGTCAGTGTATTGATTTACACAGACGCTGTACAGTCGCTGCACCACGCACAGCACAGGTGTACAGTCGCTGCACCGCGCACAGCTGCTGTGATTTTTTAAATAAAATAACTTAAAAATAATAACTTATTGAATTAAGACTTTTTTATTGCTAGGTAATAGGCTTTTATTTAATAAATGTGTTGTCAACGTAGAATGAGTGTTATAATATTTGATTTTTAATATTGTAAGAATGTTTTAGAAAGTACTGAAACTGTGCTGTGTAAATGTAACATCTGGTGCTATAAAGTATTTTACTGAGACCGTGATTTATTGAACATTGAACCTGCCACTATACTCATGACAACATTAAATATGAGGTACATGTTATAAGTACCAATTACCTTTAAACTATATATTTCTTTATTATTTATAAACAACTTGTGATTTTGCACGTTTTTTTGAATACAAACAATATTTTTGCTAGTTGGTTAATACACCGCAGCGTTCACGCAGCGTTTATTTGATATTTCAGGCCAATCAATACCCCGCGTGAACGTGACATCGTCACCCAGTTTAGCTCCCATGTTTTTCTCGCCCCCTCCCCCCATCTCCCCCC